CACACACCTCACTCTTCTATTATTCCAGGCAAAACACAACATAGGTAAATATTCAAGTTTAGGCAGGGGTGGGTTCTAAAATTGTTTACTACCGGTTCTGTGGGCGTGGCTTATTTTGTGGGCTTGGCTTGATGGTCATGTGACAATTCTTTAGGATTTAGCAGAAGTACTGGTCTACCAGGCTTTTAACTGCTTGCAGAGCTGTACCGGTCTACTCATTTGTTTTTGGAGGCACCGATCTACTTATTTGTTTTTGGAGGCACCGATCTACTTATTTGTTTTTGGAGGCACCGATCTACTCATTTGTTTTTGGAGGCACCGGTCTACCACCACACTGCCTTTTAACACTGATCAGCTGTAGGGTGGCCCTTTGAAGCCCCGCGGCAAGAGTTTAAACAGTTTTTTTCCTTCTAGCCGATCAGCTGGGACTCAGGAGGCAGCAATAGATTTGGGGTGGGGCCAAATAAAAGGTAAGAATAATGCGGGGGGAGGCGGGGGGCGGGAGTGCCCAGCTCCCGAACAAAGAGAACCGGTTCGGTGATGTCATATCATCACCGCTACCAGCTCGGCGGAACCGGGAGGAACCGGGAGAAACCCACCACTGAGTTTAGCCCAATTTTTCTCTCATTAATCTAGGAATTCATCCTGGCTCTGCCCACTTCTCTTTTCAATGTGAATGTGACCCAAATATATTTTGTACCTGTTTGTTTTGATAGGTAGCATTAGATCAGTGATGGCTAATCTTTTCCGGACTGAGTGCCCAAAGCATGTGTGCCCAAACCCCCAAAATGCAATGCATGCACGCCATCTGCGCATGCGCCCCCACACATGTGTGTGCACCCCCACACACGTGTGTGTGCCCCTGCATGTGTACCACCCCTGCACATGCGCACGCTCCCTGCACTAGCCCTGCCCCCTGCGCATGCGCAGCAGAGACCTGAAGACCAACTGGCCGGCAGGAGGCTCCCGCGCATGCACAGAGAAGCTGAACTTGGCTGACGGCTCATGTGCCCACGGAGAGGGCGCTGCGTGCCACCTCTGGCACGCATGCCATAGGTTCTAATGCCTAATCACGGCATTAGATTGTGGTTTGTGGACAGGCATTAGCAAAAGTCTTCCAAAGAGGTGACAGAAACCATCGGAAATCAACCTCTCATTTATTTATTTTTTAAGCCCCATGGATACCATTTTGTGAAGTGCCATTGATCGGAGGAAGGCTGGCACCGAAGCCATTTTCAATAACGATGCTCTTCAATCACAGTTCCATTCTGGAGGGATTTTCAATTTTGCTGCTGAAATCAGGCAAGCAGCTGCACCGCTGCTGCCGCTTGTCGTGAAGTGATACAGTGGCCAAAATGTTCCCCTCCCTCTCTCCCTCTGCCCTCCATTTTCGGTCATGTTTGCACTTCATTTCACCGAACGTACATCTGATTCATTGACATCTGTTAAGGAGGCAGTGGAGGGAAAGCCATGCATATGCATGGTAGGGAACCCTGCCCGCATTTCAATGAGGTTGCCACTGTTGTAATAAAGCCATTCATTATGAAACCGTTGCAAGGGCAACGGCCAAGGCACTTGCCAACCCTTCAGAGCTTGATATTTGTTTAGTCAACAATACTTGTCTCTAGCAAGGTTTTCCTCTTAAAATGGGACGCGAAAAAAATAATCCATTTTTTATCCAGATAATCCATTTTTCTCTGGCGTTGCAGTGCCATCCACCTTTCTCAAAAGGGAAGACGAGAAAGTGGATGAAAATTGTTCAGAATGGTTGGGTCCAATCAGTGGTGGAGTTCAATTTTTTTTTTTTACTACCGGTTCTGTGGGCGTGGCTTGGTGGGCGTGGCAGGGGGAAGGATACTGCAAAATCTCCATTCCCTCCCCACTCCTGGAGGAAGGATATTGCAAAATCTCCATTCCCTCCCCACTCCTGGAGGAAGGATACTGCAAAATCTCCATTCCCTCCCCACTCCTGGAGGAAGGATATTGCAAAATCCCCATTCCCATCCCCTCCAACAAAGATGAATTCATCATTGCTTGGACCCTCCCACATGATACTTCTGGTGTGACCTTAACCAACCAGAGGGGACATGTATCTAGTATACAGATTGTGGCATTTACATTGCATCATGTCCACTTCCACAGGTCCAACAGAATCAAACTATTCCTGGATAACTGGGCAAGACCACTCCCTGGGCATCTCCATAGGACTTGTTCCATAATAAAGCCATTCCTTACTAACATGAAGTTTTGTTTGGGTGTCTTGATGGTTTAAAAAAAAATGTATCAAAGGATTGAAAACCAAAAGGTTCCAATGGCAGAAAGAAAAAGAGGAGATGGTTATTTGGTGCACGCAACCAAAAACATCTATGAGATCTGATTTGATGTTTCTAAGAGCCAGTTTGGTGTAGTGGTTAAGGCTGCAGGCTAGAAACCAGGCAACCATGAGTTCTTATCCTGGCTTGAGCCCCAAGTCAGTTGGTGACCTTGGATCTCTGGCCAATCTGTCTCACTGAGCCCCAAGAAAACAGCAAGGACAATAACTCAAAGTCATGGAGACTCTCTCTCTCTCTCTCTCTCTCTCTCTCTCTCTCTCTCTCTCTCTCTCTCTCTGTGTGTGTGTGTGTGTGTGTGTGTCTGTCTGTCTGTCTGTCTCTCTCTCTCTGTCTGTCTCTCTCTCTCTGTCTCTGTCTCTCTCTCTCTCTGTGTGTGTGTGTGTGTGTGTGTCTGTCTGTCTGTCTGTCTCTCTCTCTCTGTCTGTCTCTCTCTCTCTGTCTCTGTCTCTCTCTCTCT